CACATAAACATTGTTCACGTCCAAAAGAATAGTATTTTTCTTCCACGATAATTAACCGGAACAGTATTTTGGTTTATTTTTTAAGTCTTGCTGAACAGGTCCTTGTTGCAGCTACCAGCGAATTTGCGCGGGATGGTCCACGGATGCGTCGTCCTGCGTGCTCCGTACGTCCATCGGGGGTCGGGCTCCTGCGTAACGAACACCAATTACCGTATACGAGCGAAACGCCACTTGCCGCCGTGGTCCTCTCCCTGCACGCCGTATTGAACTGAATTCACCGTTCCGTCCAGGATACTTTGGTACTTTGGCCGCGATACACGGTGCACCAGGACCAGGCCGGGCGGCCGCGCGGACATCGCACGGCATTCCGCGTGGCGAGGGCGCCGGCCGATCCGGTCACGCCCTGGCGGATCGGATGCATGGGATGCGGGCGCCAATCTCCAGGAAGATCCACGCCGGGATTCGATGGGTGGGCGCGCGCCCGCGCGGCGCGAGTGACCACCGCCTGCGACTGCGAGCCGTGCCCCGTGCATGGCGCCGGCCGCCGGGAGTGCAGGCGAATACGCCGGCGCCGCGCGGCTTCGGCTTGTCCGGCGCTGTACGTTGGTGCGTGGGGGTGGTACCACCTCAGGTATGGACGTGCCCGCACCGATTTTTTTTTTTTTTTGCCCTTTTTTTTTTTGAAAGTTTTTCACAAATATGTCTCTCGAGGTATACTTTTAAAATTTGGACTATTGGCTCGGCGTCATCGTCGGTGGCGCCGAGATGCGCCAAACGGTTTGGCGCCTAGGTCGGGGCCATGTTAGACTGCATGGACGCTGACCCGGCAGGCAGCACGACGCCGGGGTTATTGGCGCCGAGCTCGGCACCGTGGTTATTGGCGCCGAGGTGGCAGGCAGCAGCAAGAGGAGACTTTTGTTCTGATGATCACGCCTCGGCGCGTGCTTTCGGCGCTTCTGTTTCGCGCGGCGTGCGTGTTTTTTGGTTCGTCTTTCGGCGAGGGGATTGATGCCACCGGCGCCTTTGAATAGGGGATGCCACGCAGCTTTCCACGACATCGGGCATCGGGGTTTCGCCATTGTCGGTGGCTTACGAGAGGGCAACTGATCGGCATCGAGGGTTTCGGCAACATGTACCGTGGTTCGCCATGAAGCGCGCCACGCGCTCCTCGCGGCAGGTGCTTCTTCCCCGACTTTCGGACGAGGATCGCGGTGCTGTCTCGCATCCGGCACCGGAGCCACCCGTACGACTCGGGGTCCAAGGAGCCACCGGTGTAGTGGACGCAGCGGCCGGAGTTTTGCGTCGGCGCGGCGAGGAGCCTGCACACCGGGCTACCCCAAGAATCATCCACCAACATCCTCCTCGATGACGGCTACGTCGCCAAGGTGGCCGACTTCGGGCTGTCGCGCATCGACCGGTCGTTCGGCGTGGTGCCGGTGATCGAGCTGGGCCACGATCGGATCAACAACCACCTCGCCGAGTGGGTCGTGGAGTCTGCCAATCCCAGACGAGCATTCAGATCACAGGCAATTGTGTTAAAAAAGAAAACTTCTACTCACCGGTGGCCAATGTGTGCTTGCTGTCATCTTTTAAATCTGAGTGGCCAATGTGTGCTTGCAATTTTCTCTTAAATCTGAGCTACGTTCTACGGCACTGTAAATATCACTAGCACAGTTGCACTAACTTAAAAGTGCAATTTTCGTACTCAAACTATTACATAACTATGTGAAATATAATACCAATCAATTATATTGTTTTCCGACACAGATTATCATATCTTTATTTCTATGCAAATTGATGATACATACTCCTATGATATAAAGGCCTAGTCATACTGGACCACACACTGCTGCAGAGCACAAAATTACAAAGAGAATGAGAGAGAGAGAAAAATCAAAGTACACTTATTTCAAAACCACCTTAACAGCAAAAAAAAATTAGTAACAAATTAAAAGTGGCTCCTTATTTTAGTTTTTTTATAGTTGAGAACTTGAAATACAAAGTACACTACATATTTTCAAAACCTTATATATTTGCACCTTGCCTGATTGTTTGCCAAGTTTATTTTCTGGCGACTAGGATGACTATTTTACTAAGCCTGGTGCTGATATGATCTAACATATTTTTGTTTACCTCAGATTCCTATGTTTAAGATAATGGCTAGAATGGATGTTATGTCACGTTGGCTATTGTAAATCAGACAACTGAGTGCAAACAACCCTTGCATCGGCTTTCATCAACACAAGAAACTGATACAAGTAATGGCAAAGACCATCCACCTATTGAGGACAAAAAACTGCAGAAAACTTCCAAGCAGGAACACAAAAGGTGCTAAGATACCTATGGTTACATGCAACCTATATAGTTAAATGTTTGATTGGAACACTGCAAGAGAATTACGAATGAATTCAATAGTTAAATTCCAACAAAGACCAGGTTCTGAGTAATTTAAACCTGCCCAGCACTGATATGAACCCTTCACTTAAAAATGGCAAGACAACATAATCAAGGGATCAAATTGGAACTATGCAATCTCTGTTAAAATAAAACTCACTATCCAACTATAGATATGCATCAGAAGTCAGCAAAAACCCTTCCACATAATGCTAATAGGCCTACAGACGAAATCAATGAAAGATACAGACAAAAGCAATGGAAAAGCATAAGTATAACCAAGCATATTGCCATCCTTTTAGATCATCATTGCAGATATAATTAATAACTAGAGTGCAAGATTGCAAGCTAAATTTCAGCTACAACTGAGCCATTCGAAGTACCAAAACTGTTGAATATCTCAATCTCTCTTTTATCATTAATTAGTTCAGCGAATAGAACTTAAACAAGTCGAGTCAAATCGACCAAGAACACATATCGATCAATTACTTGTTCTTCCCGGACTTCTTCTTACCCCATGCCGCCGCGCCGGCGCTGACCTGGGGGCGCGGGTGGCGCTCGGCCTCGATGGCGTCGAGCCACTTGAGCGGGTTATGGTTGAAGAAGGGCTAGTTGGGGACGGTGATGAGCGTCGTGAGCACAACGCTGCCGGCGTAGACGAGCAACATGAGCTGGAAGTCCACGCTCACGTAGCCCACCAGAACGCCATCATCACCGACGCCACCAAAGAAGACTCATGATCAAGATCTCCGCTTAGGCAGCTTGGCCGGAACCGGGCGCGGGGCGCGGACGTTGATTGGCTGGCCGGCAAGTGGGATGGGCGGTGGCGCGGTGGTCATGGCGGGAGGCCGCCTCGGCGGGGTGCGCGGTGGGAGCGGCAGCATGGCGAGGCGCGTCAAGGCGAGAGAGAAGAAAGGAAGAGAGGAAAATGAAAGGAAGGAAGAGAGAAATGAAAGGACCCACATGTAAGGTCGGCTCGGCATCAGGATCTACGGCGCCAAACTCGGCGTCCAAGATCTACGGCGCCGAGCTGGCTGCCATGTCACCATCGGCTCTACTTTGATGCCGACGTGGCCCCTCGACCTATACGCCAAACACTTTGACGCCGAGACGTGTAAGCTCGGCGTCAACTAAGGGTCCAGATTTTGATAGCATATCTTTATAGGCATATTCGTGATAAACTTTCAAAAAAGAGAAAAAAAAACGGCCCGCACGCGTGTCAGGCGACTTCCATCCATACCCACACGCAGGGGCTGCAGCATTCGTCAGCAGCTGGGCTGGGTGTGCCGTGTGCGTCCGGTATGGCCGTATGGGTGCACCAGCAAGGCAAGGATCGCCGGATCGGATAGGGATCTTGCAACAGCGGACCCCCGGGATACGGTACAGGAGCGCGATCCGGCGCTTTGGAGCCACACGGCAAGTTGTGCGCGCGTACCAGTACTCGAGTACAACCGCATGCTCAGCGTGTTCGGCTGTTCACTTCTCAGCTGTTTCAGATCCGAAATAATCCGAAATCCACTGTGTAAGTGAACAGCCGAACACGCGCGGTGTATGTACGTACGCAGGCGTGGGTTCTGTACAGCGCCGCACCCACACACACCAGTAGTATTGATTGGCGTATTGCGTATGGCTGGCTGGCGTTCATTCGTTCGGTCCCCCTACGTACAGTACAGAACAGGAAGGCCACTTATAGGCTTTGCTGTGACGTGGCCAGAATGTTACTACTACTACTAGTAGTACTGTCACTGTGGACCATGTGACGCACTTTATACACGACACCTCGCCCAGAAATTTCCATCGTGTTCGGCCGTTTGCCGGTTGTCGGGTTACACAGTTTACTGTGGCCCCTTTGCGTGCTGACCGCACACATGCCATCGCCGGTAATTTACCGTCACTTTACCGTGCGGTGCCGCCGTGGCGGTGCCGTCCCGCCCCGGTCCTCGCTTCCTCCTGTTCTCCACGGCGCTGACCGCTGGGGTTGCCTAGCCTTGCCTTGCCGCCGTTTCAGGGGCATGTTTGGAACGCATAAATGGAAAACGGATGAATAGGAAAAAAAATATAGGAACGAGGCGTAGTATAAAGCGAAAAAGCGTAGGAATCTAAAAGAAATGAATACTTGAAGATTGTTGTTTGGATTAAATAAAAATTTTGAACATTCATGTTTTCCCCTGCAATGAGGAAATAGCCGTCGGGCAAGATATCCGTTGTAGCCCTGCAAGTGCCATTGCAACTCTGCATTTTTTTTGGTACCCTGACATTGCTACAGCACCCTGCTGCTCCTGCTATATATATATATATATATATATATATATATGCTTGTCGGGGCAACAACATATTGCACTGTGTGTTGTCAAGCAATATAATAGCTTTGCTATTCTCTCATCCATCCATCACAGACAATAGCATTTCTTTCTATGGATTCAAGCTACCGGCGTAGATCAAAAAATAAAGAGAAACTTTTTCTCTCCGTACTCCCTACCTTACAAGAAGCTAGTTCATCCCAATCATCATAAAGGCAAGCCATCCATACATCAGTCCGGAATGGAGCCACATTTATTGATGAAACACTAAATGGGCATGAAGTCTTATACCAAAGGCGATTCCATATGGAGAGAGATGTTTTCCGTGCTCTGGTTCGAAGATTGCGTGGAAATGGACTTGTTGATTCAAGGTATGTCTCGGTGGAAGAGCAATTAGCTATATTCCTTTATGCAGTATCAAAAAATGCAAGCAATCGAGTATTACAAGATCAATTCCAACATAGTGGGGAAACAATTAGCCGTCACTTTGCAGCAGTGCTCAATGCACTTACACAACTCACATGCCACTATATATGCTTGCCTTCTCCACACCCGCATCGTATATTAAGGCAGCCCAAATTTTCTCCATACTTTCAGGTAATTCAAAAATAGTTCGTTTTCATGTCAATTTGGTTATATTTACTATACGTAAACTGGGCATTTTATATTGACTTCACCATTAATATATATACAGAACCGTATTGGAGCTATCGATGGCACTCATATTCCAATGACTATTTCTGTTGAAAAACAAGAACCATATAGAAACAGAAAAGCAAGGTCTATCACAAAACATGATGGTTGCATGTGACTTCGATCTAAAATTTGTGCATGTCCATGCCGGTTGGGAGGGATCTGCTTCTGATGCAAGAGTTCTACAGGATGCACTTAACCATGGATTTCTTGACTTCCCCCAGATTGGTGGACATCAAGCCCCTGCACCGATGGAGTTGCAGGGGGAGACGAAGCGGGGAGAGGGGGATTTCGTGGGGATGGGCTGATTCGCTGGTGGTGGTTTGCCATCTCCGTCTGTTCGCGCCAAATTTCTCTAGGGTTCAACCACCATGGCGGGAGGGAGGAGTGAGAGAGAGAGAGAGAGAGGCGACGGGAGGAAAGAACGAGAAAGATGCTTTCCCTTGAGTCACGGTGGATGTTTTATTTTCCATGAAACACACATAGCTTGCTACCTTTCCTTCGTAAAAGAAACTACAAATCCTACGTTCCAAACGTAGTCTCAGGCTTTCTTTATAGAGGAATAAAAACCTCCAAAATTCCTATAAAAAACTGTGTTCACACATGCCCTTATGGATATGGAGTACATCTTTCTTTATAGAGGAATAAAAAACTCCAAAATTCCTATAAAAAACTGTGTTCACACATGCCCTTATGGATATGGAGTACACCTACCCACCTACTACAACGATCGGCAACGGATGGTCGTGGACGCCCCCGCCCCGGCTGGCTTTTCGGCGAGATTTTGCGTGCGTGCGCGTCGGCCGGTGGCCAATGGGAGTGCGGGGCGCCCAACAAGACGGGCGCGGGTCTAAAGAAGACAAGGACTCCTTTCAGATTCCTCTCTCCTTTTGTGAAAAGCTATATGGAATCCTTGATTCCCTACATGTTGCCTATTCATGATGCTTTATTAATTATTACTATACAAACTGCCCCTCTAATCAGCTTCCAAACTTAGAACTTTTGCTACTAATAGTCTGTTCTAGATGATCTTGAATGTTGTTTATTGCCAAATGCTCATCGCCTACTGTGCTGATTCTTGCAGAGTGGTCATTGACAATGACGCGTGTGACAACGCAACTGTCATCCGGGTGAGATTGGACTTCACTTTCATTTGGGACCATACTGCTAACTACATTTGAGTATTTAGCTAACGCCTAACCGCACTACCTTTGTACTGGATATTAATTGATAAAGGGCGGACCTTTTCTTTCTTGCCAGGTCGATAGGGTCAAGAAGCATGGCATTTTACTGGAAGCAGTTCAAGTCCTTGTCGATCTCAACCTCGTCATCACCAAGGCTTACATTTCTTCGGACGGAAATTGGTTCATGGATGGTACTGGTTATATATCCTTTTAGTTTTTAAATGAAATTTGACTTGCAACTGGCAGTAATATGTTTGGTTGTTTGACCTGTCATGATGAATTTCTTTGTTTTCTTGGTTCACGTCGTGTTCAGTGTTCAATGTGACCGATCAGGACGGGAGTAAGCTTCAGAACATGGAGGTCATTGACCATATTCAGAAAGTAAGCATGCTGCATTTACTGCTAATCTCTGATGTTTCCACAAGACGCCTTACCCTTGTGGTCTTCAACAGTGCCTGGAATCAGACGGCTACCTTGCGCCTCCGGCAAATGGACCGATGGGCGGCTTTGCACTGCCGGCAGAAGACCAGTTCACCTCCATCGAGCTGACCGGCGCGGACCGCCCGGGCCTCCTCTCGGAGGTGTGCGCTGTGCTCGCCGCCCTGAGCTGCAACATCGTGAAGGCCGAGGTGTGGACGCACGACAGGCGCGCCGCCGCGGTGATCCTGATCACCGACGAGGCCACCAGGCTCGCCATCCACGACGCGGGCCGGTTGTCCAGGGCACGCACAGGCAGATGCACTGTTATTGCCATTGCCTGCCGTGTTCCATCATCACGCAGCAATAACAGCAGCTCGCCTCCTCTGCTCGCGCAATAGTGCAATACGACGCGTCGCGATCGCCCGCCCCGCAGCTGATGCTCGCCTCTGCCGCCGATCGTTTTATGGCTATCACTGATGCTTACGGAAGGTTTTGACGCACGGAGTATTAAATATAGAACTAAAATTAATTAATCATACAGATTACGATTAATTTGTGAGATGAATTTTTTAAACCTAATTAGCCCATAATTTGACAATGGGTGCTACAGTAACATATGCTAATGACGGATTAATTAGGCTTAATAAATTCGTCTCACGGATTACTGATGACTTCTATAATTTATTTTATTATTACTATCCAAACACTCCGATGTGATATCCCTAAATTTTACTCCCTGGATTTAAACACCACCTATATATGTTGTATGTGCAATGTGCTAACCATCAGTAGTCGTCGACAGGGAGTCATTGAGCCAGGAAAGGCGGCTTGTGGCAATTGCCGGGACCTAATACTCTTCGGTGCTATTTGGCACGGCTCCTATTGAGCAGTGGCGGAGCTACATGTAGGCCATAGGCCCCCCGAATTGAAATTTCTTAAGGATGATAAAAAAAGATACTTAGAAAGTAATGGAGATTTGCACATAAGAGAAAAGTTGAACACTGTTAGCCCCCTCTTGAATCTCTTCACGCTCTGCCACTGCTTTTGAGGGGCTGCAGGCTCCTACAGAACGGCTCCAACTCTACTTTTTACTGAAAAATAGCTCCTACAGGAAAACGTTTGGCGGCTCCTCCACAGGACCCGGAGCCGGAGCTAGGAAGAAGCCCTACCAAACAGACCCTTCGTATGCATTTGCAACACGTAGATCCGTACTAGGGCCTGTCTGTTTGGTGTAAACCCTCGTCCCCACAAAGAAGCTATAGGAATATATTTATTAGTGATGAATCAAAATGATCTGAATATCCCTTAAAGTAGAGTACCATTACAATGCTAAAATGTCTTTCTTTCCAAGATATTTTTTGAATCTTTTATAGGACGGAAAGGTCCTGTATTCTGGTGCATTTTCTCTTTCGTGTTGGCAGCTCGCCGGACTGCCTTGTTCCTGTATTCTGCACTTCTACTTAATGAAACACAAGCGATGCACGTTCTCGAAAAAAGTACACTAATATGTAGTCGTGTATGTGGCCCAACAAGCCATTGTCTCAATAGTTGCTTGGCGCTCTCAAAAGAAAAGTTGCTTGGCTAGTAGCAAAAAAAAAAACATCAAACGAAACGACAATTATCGAAGTGCAAGTTCCTAACCAGGCAACTAAACAACTCCCTCTTGAATTGCTTACCAGAGGACTTGGTGGGGCTGGTTTATGGTGCTATCTCAGCCACAGCCATAGCCTGGCCCTGCAGCAACAAAAAGGACTCACAATCACCGGTGGGCCTAAGATTTTTGTATGGGGTTTACCGCTCCAAAAATTTTCACATGTAATTCGGTAAAATCCGTTTAACAATTCGGTAGACTGTTGTCAAATAGCTAAGTAATTCGTTATACGATGCCAAAATTTGCATAAGTTACATTGCAAATACAAATATTTCAAACATAAATTCATATAAAATTGCCAATAGTTTGAAATCGGCATAAAAGATGGTTAGACACCAAATAAGTTTACAACACAACTTATCGCATGTTTAATCAAAAGATGGTGCAGAATACGGTCAAAGTACATAAAGCATGGATATATGAACCCTGATTAAGGCACTTCATCTTAGCGGCAAGGGTAAGAGACAGGAGAGACTACACTAGTGCCCGTTCCAGCAACTTGCTACTGTAAGATGCTAAACTGGCAGAGAGGTTAGCGATGCAGGGGGGCAATGTGGAGGTTGGACGGATAGAGAGGTGCTCACCACTATTGTCGTGTTCGCTTGGCTGATAAGCTATGGTTGAAAGTACTGTTGGCAGATTTGTTATGAGAGAAAAATATTATTCGTTGGCTGAAAAAGCACGGTTTATAAGCTAAGCGAACAGAGTGTATATTTGCATGCTGTGGAGTTATAGCTAGATTTACCGGGGAGACCGTCATAGTTGACGCTTGAATTTGGGATTCAATGCTTGCGGACGAGAGACCTGGAGTCGCACACATTTGTTGTCAAATGGTTAACTCCTTGTTACTAGAACTAGGGTAACAAACTAACATTGCACCATCATTGTATTGTTCATTGGGTTTGTCCCGGCTCATAGCGACTTAACGAGTTCTTGGCTCAAGAGCCTAGAAAAAAAATATTTTTGAGAGTACAGGACATAACGTTAGGCACGATTTGAGTACCGCCCAAGTAATGTTGGTCATGGCGTAATAAAGAAAAAAAACCGTGCAATTGATTCAAATCAGATCATCAGATAGTATGATTTTGGGGGGAAAAAGAAAGATAGGAGGAAAAAGAAAACGCACAAAAAGTCCTGTGACGACGTGTTACCACGTTTGGATAATGAGTCCGTCTATCCAACAACTGAGTGTTTTAGAAGCTCCTGACACTGATTTTTTCTATACATTTACACTATCTTTAGTCTATATCTACACTGTCTTATTACTATATTTATAATTATTTTTCAATGTAATTTATCGGACATAGTGGTGTAATTTGGGAAGATTGCTAATCTCGGGGAATATATGTCAAAAAAAATTTTAAAAAATTTATAAATTATTTCTATGAATTATATATATCAGAGAGAAATATATCAAATTGTTCCCAAATTATAAACAAATTTCAGAAAAAAAAAATCAAATTGCAAACAAATTGAGTTGGGGCCCACCCTCCTCAACGTATCCCTTCTCTTCCCTACCCGCACAGGCATCCACACCCACCATTTCCCTTCGTCAACCCCTGACCTGCACACTCCTTCGTCAACCCCAGTGCGGCACGGCGGTGGGGCGGCCCTGCAAATGCGTCCGACAGTGGGGCTCGGCAGCGACGGCGGGGCTGATCGCGACTGCGACCGGGCGGCGTGGAGCTGCTACAGCTGCGACCCACCGCTGCTAGCCTAGTATTCGGGGTGTTTTGGTTCTTAGCAGGAAAAATCGGCCACTGGCTGCTTAGATATGCATGGGAGCTCCTGGGAGAGAGGGGGGGGGGATGGATGAGCAGAAGCCCAGCAGACAATTTTTTAAGTCTAATTATTCTATCATTAACACGTGTTTAATTTAGAAAAATCGTTGATAAATCATGAATGAATTTGTGAGAAAAAGTGAACTCGTAATTTTCAGCCGTTATGTAATTAGTTTTAAATCCGGCTGGTTTTAACCAGCCGAACTTCGACGTGACGAGAATTTGATGAGTGCCGCGTCTCTTGCTTTGACCGAGACCGCTCGGCCCAGCCCCTCGATCTCTCTCCCCCTCTCTCCCTACTAAGACTAGTACGTATTTGATAGTATATGATGTCCGTACTCTACTTCGGACTACTGTTACTCCACGTTTCATCGTGGCGACCGTATTCTCTTGGTTGGCTGCGTTGGCATTTGCACCGGGCGGTGGGTTCAATGTTCATCATCGTCAGTTTGCATTTCAAAATGCATTTTTTTAATTCAAATGGATTGCAAGCTGCCACAGAAACGATGAGTCATTTGATGAGAGAAAGAACGAAGGACTGAAGCAGCAAGACGATTCGAAGATCAGCCTGTTTACACAGCAGCATCAGATTTGGATCAACTTTCCTGCGTACGTTCGTCCATGAGCTTTGACGACATGGATCGATCAACGGGGCGTTGATGGAAGCCAAGACCTTTTCTAGCAGATGCTAATGCTAGCTTAACAAGTACTAGTAGCTTAGTGACGACTAATGCTAGCTTAACTAGTAGAAGTAGCCTAGTGACGACGTTACATTTCGCCCTGCCTGTCTCAAGCACTCTGATTAACTAGTTGACCGGCGGCGGCCGGCTACGAGCACGACCGGATGAGCCCTAGGTTGTAGAGGAACTTCTCGGAGCGGGACCTGATCATGTTCCCGAGCGAGCGCCTGCCGCCGCCCACCGGCGACTTGGGCCCGCCGGCCCCGGCGGCGGCGTCGTGCTGCTCCCTGACGAAGAGGAACTGCTCGCCGATCTCGGCGCGCACGGCGTCGACGGCCTGCCCCTGCACGGGCTCCCCCGACGCGTCCACCACGTAGAACACGTTGGCCGCTTGCGCCCCGCGCGTCTCCACCTCCGCGTGCGTCACCGACAGCCCGTGCTCCCGGAAGATGCGCGTCACGTCGGACAGCAGCCCGACGCGGTCCTCGCAGCACAGCTCCAGCCGAAGCCCCTGGATTGGAACGGACGCAGCAGCAGCCGTTACTACAGGCCTGGGAGTTCAGGGCTCGTTAGGATGGAGACAGTAAGTACCTCGGTGTAGCGGCGTTGGATGGCGGCTTCGAGGCAGCGGCAGAGGCGGTCGCGGTCCTCGCCGGAGCTGCCGGCGCTGTCGTCGAGGTGCCGGAGGTGCCGGATGTAGTACTCCTGCAATGCCATGCAAGTTGCAAGGTCGGTCACCACAAGGAGCAAAAACGAGCATATGTGTCCTTTTCAGCCTGCCGATAAAAACAAGTTTCCTGTTGCACAGGACAAGTTCACACAAAACCAGGAAGGATCGCCCTCTCACTCACATGCCAAGATCTGCCAGGATCCAACCACTGCCTGACCGCCAGGCATCATCTCTGGCACTGGTCAAAACGTGAGGGCCGCCCGGCGTCAAGACCAGACCGAGAGACCGGACACAGTACAGGGGCGTGCTTGCACTTGGATTGCAGAGGGATACTACTACTGTGTGCTAGCTTAGCAGCTGCAGACAAGTACGTACTACCAACCAACACGATGCGATGCACAGGCGCTAGCGACGCGAACAGTTTCATGAGTCGATGTTCGATGGTGGTGGCAACCAAGTGATTCCGTACCTGGTACGCCTCCGAGCCCTCGGCGATGACGGTGCCGTGGAACACCACGTACTGCATGTCGGTGAGCGTGCACACCGTGTCGAACAGCAGCTTGGGCCGGTCGCGGCACCGCACGTTGACGAGCGTGTACCCGCGCTCGGCGCAGTCCTCCACGGCGACCGCCGGCATGCCGCCGCCGGCGCGGGCGCCCGACGCCTCGCCGCGCTCGCCCTCGACCCCGCCCTCGCGGCGGACGCTCCGGTCCGCCTGCATCATCTGGTGGAGCCGGCGCTGCGCGTGCTCCACGCCCGCCGAGATGGCGGCGCGGGCGGCCTTCTTGTCGCGGCTGCTCCCGCGCAGGACGTGGCGGAGCAGGCGCTTCACCGTGTCCAGGCGCGCCGGGTCCTCGATGGCGCCCAGAGTGTCGGCGTCCGTCACGTACACCAGCGCCGCCACGCGGCCGTCGTGCGTCCACACCTCCGACGCCACGATGTTGCACCTGAGGTCCGTCAGCACCGCGAACACCTCCGACAGCAGGCCCGGGCGGTCCCGGCCGACAAGCTCGATGGCGGTCTGCGCCTCCTCCGCCTCCGCCTCCACGGCCACCAGCCGCTCCGGCGGCCCCCGGAAGCTGAGCGATCCCGCTCCCAGAGACTGAAACATGGAATCGAATCATCAGAACCGAAAACTACAGATTGCCCTGCACTCGCTCTGTTCTTGGCTGGCATTGAACAGCCAGCCAGCATAGCAAGCAACAGGGACCTCTGCACTTTACCTGTTCAATTCTGTCGATGACTTGGCCATCATAAAGTTTATTCCCATCCTGATCCACGACATGGAACACTGCAGAAAGGCCAAGCAAAGCCACACAGACCACACATCAGGATTGGAGGGGGGGAAAAGGAGGATAGAAAGATTACACTGCCCAAGCAAAAGCCAGGCTTTGCATCACCCCAGAAAGGCACCATCTTTCTCTCCTCTATCTTCTTAAACTTTCCAAAGAAAGCATGGACTGGGAGGCAGCGGCACGGCACTCACCGTCCATGAACCACTCGCCGTCGGAGGAAATGTAGGCCCGATTGATGGTCAGCTTCAGATCGGTCAGCACCTGAACCACCTCCAGCAAGGTCCCATACTTGTTGGCGCTGTCCACCTGCAGCCAGAAATCGAGCAACCTCTGAGAGAGAGACATAGAGATAGAGAGAGAGAAGAAAAAAAAGAAGAAGAAGAGCTCTGCAGGAGGCAAGAACACAGAGAGCTGCGGCGCTTGCCTTCACCAAGGTGGCAGTCATGTCGGAGTCGTTGTCCACGATGACCCTGCGAGTGGCAAACGGCCAAGAAGCAGGCACAGTTAGCAGAGGACGGCACAGCACAGGTCAAAACGGCAGAAAAAAAAACATCCATGGTGCTGTGTTGGGGTTGGGGAAAACAACCTTGGAGGGTTCATTCTGAGAACCAGCTTCTGGTACTCATCGACTATCTCGTTATTGGTTCGGCTCCGAGACCCACAGGCCATCATTGTCCAACCCTAGCTTGCCTTGCTTGCTTGCACAAGAGAGGAGATGGGGAGGCAACAGGGATGCGCCTCCTTTGCTGTCCCCAACCCCAATCCGAGTGCGTACTTGTGGTGGGTGCTGGTGCTGGTGCTGGTGTCCCTCTCCGTTCCCCTGTGAGTTCTCTGAACTCTGAAGAAGCAAAGCTCTCAGCTAGTCCTAGTTATATATCTTGGCCATGCCTCATGGGGTTGGGAGGAGAGAGGACAGAAGCAGCATGCCAACTCGTGGATTTGAGTATGCATCTTCCTACTCTCTCTCTCTCTCTCTCTCTCTCTCTCTCTCTCTCTTGGGTGGGTGCTGTGTGTGAGTGACTGTGTATGTGTGTGGTTTTGTGGGCAGACAGTGGTGTTTGGTTGGTGTCCCTTCACTTGATTAAAGGGAGATGTTTGGGGGAAAAGACCATCCCTATTGGGAGCTTGTTTATCTGCCTGCCCATAGTGGACATGCCTGGTTTTGTTCCCCTCTTGCTACGCAGCGATCCAAGTGTGGGACCTATGCTCATTTGCTTCGTCTACGGAGTAACTAGTTCATTCTTTCATTGTTTAACAAGAATTTTCTTCTGTATACATTATTATTATATAATATAAACCTAACTGTCTACATCCGTAGACCAACATGGTTTTTTTCTTGGGATATTTAATCATGTATGTAATGTACTTCCCATTTTCCCCAATGGCTGCAGGCAGAAGATATCTTTGAGATATGATCTAAGCAATTAAATTAAAGAACATTCAAATCTCGAGCCTAGAGAGATGCTTTGAATGTGCTGGGAAAATCGGATGCAAGATCTGAGTGGTTTTCCCACGTGTCCAAAACGTGGAAACTGCTCTGACATTTGGGTGCATGGAAGATCGGTCGGGCCTGTGCGCCCATGGTCGCACAATATAGAACTCGTTTGTTTTTTTAGCAACATAAATCTGTGAGAGATCACTGTAGAAAACTTCAACGGCAAATATGCTTGCACGGCTCTTGCATTTGGACAACAACAATAAACTTGAATGAGCTGATTAGGGTGGCAAACATTGTATTGGCTGCTTAGTGCCATGGCATGATCGCATTGGTCAGATTAAGTTATTTTTTTGAGGTAAAGTCAGATTAAGTTATTGACGGAAGATTTGCATAGCCTGGATCATGTGGCACGATAGAGAGGACCTTTGGAATGCAAAAGTGCACTGCTTCTTCTTTTTTTCCTTTTATTATGAAGTAACAAAGGTCAACGAGAACCTTGCATTGTATGACTTGGACCTGTAGTAGCCTTCACAATTAACAAGATACTCAGTTGACCTAGCTTGGGAATGGCTTTAATTTACTACACTAAGACAAGATGGCCGATAGCAATGACATAAGAAAAACAATGACTAAAACTTGACGGCTCAGTTGATTTGTTAACCAGTAATTACCTGCAACCTGCACGGCGCACTAATTCCCTCCATGTACCTCAAACAGGATCGATTTGAATACCCGCGCGTGTCGAATGCTCCGAACCAGCTCGCAATTGGAGAACAATGAGTGGTCCCTGGCCCGGTTTGGACAACAGTGTCAGCATGTGAGCTAAGCTTGAGTGTGTGTGTGTGTGTGTGTGCACTGGGCAGCTTGGCCGATACTCCCAGAAGATAGAACGATATCTTCTCTTTGCACTCTATCTTTGGTCCCGAACCGAACCTCTCTTTTACCAAGCGTCAACCGTTTCGCTGCCTTTCCAGCTTGTAACTTCCTCCCTCTCAGATTTGATGAGGTCTCTCTCTTCGGAATCGATCTCCCTTTTCCCATATGACAGCTACTACTTACTGTAGTAGTATTGTGCACTTTCCCTTGTCAAATACTATATGGTGGCCGGTTTGCCGTTTGGACATATCTAATCATCATCAGATTTCTAAGCTGATCAGAATCTCAGTAGATTTGGCACAACATTTACGTGCCCCCCGTGCCAGGTGGCTGAGTATTTCTTCCGGCCGGTCCTCCCTCTCCGCCGCACACCTGTCTAGTACAGACGCAGGAAGGAAACGCCAGGTGCGCCGTCGCTCCCAGGAGCTCGTTGCCAGATGGAGAAGAGCGTCGCCGATCGCCGTCGCCCGTCGCGTGCGTGCATATATATATATATAAATAAACGTGGCTGATCGATCCTGGGGCATGTTTAGTTTTTAAAATTTTATAAAATTTTTCAAGTTTTCCGTCACATCAAATCTTTGGACGCATACATGAAGCATTAAATATAAATAAAAAATAAAACTAATTACACGGTTTAGACGAAATTCACGAGACGAATCTTTTAAGCCTAATTAGACTATAATTAGACACTAATTATCAAATAACAACGAAAATGTTACCGTATTATTTTCTAAAAAAATTCGCCAACTAAACGAGGCACCGGCCGAACATCCCCAGTCGTCTACAGTAGCAGCGCCAGGCCGGCCATACGTACGGCAGCATCGTCAGCGGTGAGTCACGCTCACCGGTACGGTGCCGATCGAGGCACGCCGTGCATTCAGGTACCGCGCGCTCGCTGCCAGTGGCAGTGCCAGCAGCACTGTTGAGCGGCTGACTCGCGAGCAAGGACCGAGCAAACAATGATGCAGCAGGCTGCGCGCTCTGCCCGCTTTCTCTCCCACCAGCGGCATGGCGCGCGCGCATGCCTGCAAATCTGCAATGGTACCTTGGATTGTGGCCGAGGCAGGAGAAGCCTCCGCACGAGCTCCTGTGCCTCCGATCCCCGGATGGCCCGCCGTGCTTCTCTAGTTCACGGTTTTGTTAGTGGCGGGAATAATAGCAATTCAGTGACACATAAATTAATTCCAATAATGAGAGAAAAAACAACAACATGTATCATAAGTGTGTGACTTAACGCTAGCGCTAGCACTATAATCCGAGACAAACTCAAATTTTCTAGCGCCAGTAACAAAAGGAACGCTAGAACGAATGGCAAAGAAATTGTAGACATCCTCACAGTGAGGTTGTCGGCGCTACAGATAGCGCAAAAGTAGATGAAGCAGGCTGTACCCGTGCAGGGACACGAGGGGATGTTTTTCAACACAAGTGGCAAGGGGAGAAGAAGTAGATGAAGCAGGCCGTCGAAGGAGATCCACGAACACCGACGTAGCGTTCAGCAAACAGTCCACACGCGCAATCACAACATTAAGGTGATTGACCTACCGTATCGAGTTGCATAAGGAACGTGGATGTTTCTTCCTTTTCCTCTCCCACATAGCTTCAACTAGACGGAGACAATTCAAATATTTAAGTTGGACTCAATCCTAGTAAAGTAGCAGTGTGGGACTAAAGTACCCCACCATATCGTGCATGTATGAGTGGGCCTTTGAGATATATTTAAAATTATTATTTAGGCCATCCCAAATCTTCTAACAGTTAGTAAGTACTTTCTCCATACCCAAAAAACCTGATGTTTAGGACAGGATTGTGGTAACCAAGGAGTGATTAATTAGGGGTTAGTTTTCCTTCTTTGCCCCTAATAAATATGGTTGCGCTTGCTCTCTGTACGAGAAAGTTAACCAGCTCAACTGGCTAGTGCGCGGAGCCTGCATTGCTGCGCCCTAGGTTCGAATCCCGGCTGCCCCACCTTTTTTGTTGCCCATTTCATTTTGCATGGCGATGGTCCATTGCATGGCACTCGTTAAGCCTGCGTGTATGTGCATGACAACAGATTTTGCTTCAGCGCCGTGCATTTTAAACTTAGCGCGACAGCGATCTTCTTGCATCTTGCTGCGGGGGCAATTGTTTCATTTTCGTTTGGCACTTGTTTCATTTTCGTTTGTTGCCTGCGCGCTCGGATAGCACCGACGTTTGAGCTGCCTTACTCCACGCCACTGGCTTATTTATGCGGCAACTTGCTTTCTCTCTTCTCCATGCCATTTGCTTGCTTGCTTAAACGCCTCTCTTTCCTTCTTTCTTAACCATCTATTCTTACCATCTTCTCTGTCCACTTAACCGAGCAATGAGTGATTTTTTCCCTGCCTTTGATCTAAACGTTCGTTTGGAAGAAGATGACGACGGCAACCTTCCCATCGATCTCAACGAGCCAGTTTTGGAAGATGAGAACCACGGTAATGTGTCTTTCTCGGTTTGTTCTTTCTCATTTATATGAACAGCACCCCATGCAAATTATTTTCCTTTCTAAGTGTGGTCTTTCCTTTTCAACAGGAATAGATTTGAACTTACCATTAGATGAATTTGGAGCTGTTGACTTTGATTACGTACAAAACCTCACTGGTACAATCCTCTCACTTTGTTTTTTTGTTTTACTAGTCATGCCGTGCCTAATTTGGAGCTGTTTTTTTTACTAGTCATGCCGTGCCTAATTTGGAGCTATTTTTTTTACTAGTCATGCCGTGCCTAATTTACAGTCCTCTCATTTATATGAACAGCACCCCATGCAAATGATTGTTTTTTTCCCTATAATTACATCATGTCGTCACTAATTTGGACTGTAAATAAGCTTGTTGCGGAGTCCGCGAACACCGACGAGGCCGCGACCTGCTCGACGGAGTCCGGCACCTCTTCGACGTCCGCGAACGTCTCATCCGAGTCCGCGAACACCGACGAGGCCGCGACGGCGAGCACCTCCTCCGCAACGGACTCCGACGAGGACGCGACGGCGAGCGCGCGGCGCGCGGCGAGCGCGCGGCGAGCGGCGAGCGCGCGGCGCGCTTCCGGCGAGCGTGTGGCGAGCGTCATGGCGAGCGTGCGGCGCGAGTGATCCATTCGTGGCGGCAAGGAACAGCAACGAACTCTAATAGCGAGTTGAGCGTGGAGAGGAAGATGAAGGAACATCAATTAATGGGGAGTGAAGACGGGCGGACGGCCGGACGGGCAATCGAAGCGAACGGGCGGCGTCGGCTAGGGACAATCCAGTCCAAAGTTCACCCTGCCATGGCACAACGTCAAGCTTTGTAAAAACGGGCCAAAGACCCAGAACGTCGACTTTTTTGAGTACGGAGGGAGTAGTTACCTGGCTTTCTTCCTCCACGCACGCATGGCCTTTGGCGTTGAATCGGTCCCTAGCAGAGGCTACCATTATTTCTTTTTTTAATAATAATAACTAATCCGTCGACCCATGTTATAGCTAGCCCCAGCATGGGCCAGTAATTTTAAGGCAAACAAGTGTGTCAGAAATTGACCAATAAGCTAATGCTCTGTTCGCTTGGCTTATAATCTGTACTTTTTCAACGAGCGAACAATATTTTTCTTTCACAATAAATCAGCCAGCAGTCCTTCTTATTAGCCAAACGAACATGGCGTAAACTTAGAGCCCATAAACAATCAAAATTGCTTATAATTTCTATTCCAAATTGTAAATCTTGCTTTGCTGGCTTTTGTTTTGTTTTTGGAAAGATATCCGGTTGCCCGGCATATCATCGATTAAGAACAAAGTGTTTTCAGAGGCCAAGTGACCCCCTTATAAGCGTGAGAGGCGCTACAACTTACAGCAGACCGTCGTAGTGGTTAAAAGCTCTAAGCTAATTACTCAAAGATAAATTACGATCTAAAAGGGGTCTGAGAAGACTCCCGCCAGCCATGGACTAAAGAGAACAAACATCCTTGGCTTTCATGGAGACTGCATGGGCCGTGCGTCTTGATTCTCTGAAGAGAAGTCTTGCTGGGCTTTTGTAGATATATAGCCAGCAAAATCTATGTATACACTTGTTTATATATTAAGTCTTGGAGTACAGATGTTAGTAAAAATTATTGCTCATGGTGAGGAATAATGTTCTCTCATGGCTTGTAGTTTTACTTTGGACACAGTGAGAAATGATTTCTCTCATGGGTTGGAGTATTTTGGCTACAGTAGACTATTAAAACGAAATATGGCTCCGTTCGCTTCACTGAAAAAACAAGCCGAAACACTGTTTCGGCTGATTTGTTGTGAGAGAAAAATACTGTCCCGGTTGAAAAAATAAGCTGAAAAAGACGAATTATAAGATAAGCGAACGTGGCCATAACCTCCTGTAGGAATCTCCGTCTTACGTACCTTTTGAAAGAGTGTTATGTGGTGGGTGGAGCTAGAGCTGGACAAAATACTTGCGGCTTGCCAACTCGCTCGACTTGTGGCCGGCTCAGCTCGGCTCGACTCGGCAGCTCATTTTAACTTTTTCACGAGTTGAGATGGAAGTCTAGCTTGCTATTTTAATGAGCCACTTCATGAACTACTCACTCACTAAAACTAAGGCCTATCGACCTCTATCATGAATCCAGAAGATGATGATGCTGACATAGAAATGTACACCTATTCTATTGATATGTAATCCTTATTTTCAGCTGTTTCGCATGAATTTTAATTTTATAATTGTTATAATACTTAAATGTTGGATTTATGGATTGTTTTCTAGGGAGAACATGATAATGCTGGCATTGAATCTGTGGACTTTTCTAAGTTTGTGATGGCAAGCAACTAGTTAGTATGCTGGAACTGCATGATCATGGATGGACCAGCTATGTTGCATGGTTGATAGTTTTGATGAACCTGATATGTATTAATATGGTTGCATAATAGTGGACACCACATTCTAAAATTAATGTAGCATAAACATTATAAACATGTGTGTCATATTTTTTTTATAGCTCACGAGCTAAATGAGCCAGCTCAAGCTCGGTAACAAGCCGAGCCGAGCTAACTCGTTAGCCTAACAAGCCAGCTCGAGCTGAACCGAATCTAGCCGAGCTGGCTCAATATCCAGCCCAAGGTGGAGCGCTGCCAGAAATTGAATTCTAGGTCGCAAGGTGACGACAAAATGTGATCGCTCGTGAGCTAGTGTAACTGTCACGTATTGGTGTGGCATATGCAAGTTCTCAGTGTGCGATGCAAGTTGGTTGCTCAGGACGGGTATTTTTCAACGAACCAATAGTGTTTTCTCTCACAGTATTTTAGCATAAGCATCAGCGTAAGTCAAATTTCAGCGCGTTCTGTTTGTTTTCATTTGAAATTTGGTTTACGCCGATATCGTATCTTTGAAATCTTTCAGAAGAGGAAAACACACTGGTTCATTCAAAAAATCTCTTCAAGTAGTAAGCAATGAGAACAAGGCATATTAGTCAATAAAGTTTTCTCTCTGATCCAAAAAAAACAAAAAGGAAAGAAGAAATAGCCTCCTTTGAAAATACTTTTAAAGTTTAAAGATAAATTTAGTGATATGTATTTTACAATGAATCTATATACAACACAACTGCTTATACATTTGATGGTAAAATCGTAAAAAAATCGTATACGAACAGTTATAAAATAATGGCTCCCACTATTTTGAAACAGTGGGAATAATAGATTGATTTGCAGTACAAAGACACACGCATTGTCGTGTAGCCGCTGCACGACCCATACACTGCATCGGCACGTCACACGCCACGCCCAAACAAACGCGCCCATTAAGGAGCAGTCAAACAAAGAGGATACAGACAATTGACGAAACATTAACCAATCAACACTAGCTGAGCAGCGCTAAGCACATGTACTAGCAGCTAGTACATCCATCATGACATTATGATATATATATAGTTTATGTATAGGCCGCTAGCTGCTAAAAACCGGTAAATTCAGAGCCATGCAGGCATGGCGCCATGCTTGTGCACGCACCTCTGTAGCAGATACTTACTGGAGTAATAATTACCAATGAACTGTGCCCTAGTGACAGGTAATATTCCCTGACAGTTACTGCCAAATTACGGATCAGCCGTCGATTGGATTAATTAACAAAATGGGCTTAGCAGAATGAAGATCCCTGGCCGGCGATAGGCCACGCGATGCCGTTATTACAAAGAACACAGTACCCGGACCGCCACCGCCACCGCCACCGCCAACGCCAAGGTAGGCTGGTGTTCGATCACTAGCTAGGCGCCTGGTCCCCGCTCGCCTTGTCCGCCACTGGTACCCCGCAGGCCGCCGCAGCGCGAATCGCTGCGGCATCCGCGGCCGGCCGGGCGATGGAGGAGGAGACGAGACGACCGATCGACCGACGAGACTGCTGCGTCCTGCGTGCAGCGGCGTGGCGTGGGCTGCCTGGCGCCTGCGTGCATGCACGCCACCACGCGCGCACTCCACCGCACCGCATCTGCTTCCCTCCATCTCTATCCCATCTGTTTTAATTTAGAGTTTTTTTCTTATTATTGTTATCCTCTCATGGTCCTTTTAGCTTTGCGCGATGGAGATATATATCGGCATCGTGGTAGTGAAAGCATATGCATGCATGCGTGTTAACTATATAACACCGTGCTGGCTTGCCATGTGCTGCCTCCAGGCTCCTGGCACAAGAGGCGCCTCATCAAGTGGGCCACGCTTAGCTAGGCCAGTGGCATGCATGGCATGGATGCATGGCGGTGGCTAACTAGCTAGTAGATTAACCCTCCGGCCGTACGGCTCGTCACGTGAGTGTGAGACGTAACCGATCGAGCCAAGCCACTGAGGCTCGCGCGCTCGGCTCGTCGTCGCCGGCTGACACGGTGAAAACTGAAATCTGTGAGATGCGGTGCCTACGGCCTACGGCGCGGTAATTTAACTAATAACTTTGGTGTTTCTTCAACAACAACAAAAAAAACTTGGTGAAAAGAAAACAGGGTGAAAACTGAAACCAATGAGACGCGCACATGCACGCAGCGACGAGGGCTCTCTGCCTGTCTCGCTCCCAGTCCCAGACAAACACGGGCATGTGCTAGAATTTAACAAGGATAATACGGACGACGCTACTGCTCCTACTCCTAGCAGTGGTAATTTCATCATGGGGAGTGTACCACCAGCGATTGACTGCCGCGTGTGTACTTGCGGGACGATGTACCATCGGCCCGACCGGGTGGAAAGTGGAATAACTAACGGCCTCGGAATCTCTGTCGCGGTCGCAATTGGCCAATTGCGTTGCGGTTTTTTCTCTCTTTTACTGTACACGACGCACAACATGCAATCGATGCGGCACAGAGGCAGGCAGGCGTAGCGGGGAGGGTGGGTACAGGGGACGCGTCGTGTCGACGTACGTACAGCAGTGCGGACATGGTGTACGTACAGTGGTGATTGTGGGTGCAGTGCCGACGTACGTACAGTGCACGATCAATTCTCCCTGGCAGGGGAAAACGAATTCAGTGACCTTGCTGTCCATTTTGAACCGTGCCGCGGTCAGCAAAAGCCCATGTCGACGCCTGCAAAAACACCCTTATGTATGCTGCTGAACGCCTTCTACATTTGGGCCTGTATGAGGGGGTAGGCCCGAATGTTTGGGCTGCAGCCCTGGTTGCCAAAGCCAGAGACGGAGAGGGGTAAATAGCCCATCATCGCCTCCGCCGATTCTATACCGATTTCCGCCCCAAGCGGCCCATACGGCCCATCGCGTCGAACGATGGAAAAAGAGTTTCTGTTTCTTTCTTTCTTCCATACACGCGAACGGATTCTCGTCTCGGTCAGCTCGCTTCGTGACTTCTCTCCTCCTCTCTCGATCGATTGCTTCCTCCACCGAGGCGGGGGGGAAGCGCCGCCCGGATCGCCGGAGGCGAGCGGCGACCTCTCCAGCTCCGAGCAGCAGCAGGTAACGAGTCTCCGCGCCTCTTCCTCCCCGTCCAACTCGCCCTCTCCCGATCGGCGATTGCATCCATAGGGCATGCGGCCCCGGTCAGATCTCGCTCCGGTACTCGCTGCCAGCCCGATCGGAGCCTGGAGTCGCGGGGTGGGAGCGAACTCATCCAGCAGAGTCTTCCCCTTCCCCCGGCGGCGGCTGCGGTGCTTTACCGGGCAAGCCGCGTGCCCCCCTTTTCCCGTTCCTCCCTGATTCAGCCCTTCCGAACCGTGTTTACGCCCCTGATCCACCTGATCTGTTCCTATGGCCCTGCTGACAGCTTGGGGATTCGTCTCTGCAGGGAGGCTCGTGGAATCAGTAGTCGTTTTCTGGCAGTGGCAGCAGAGCACGCCATGGAGGGGCTGAGCTGGAGAACGGCGTGCTGTTTATCGGTGCTCTGCGCCGTGCTGCTGCTCTTGCGCCCCGCCGAGGGCATCCGCTTCGTGATCGACAGGGAAGAGTGCTTCTCGCATAACGTGGAGTACGAGGGGGATACTGTCCATGTCTCCTTCGTCGTCATCAAGGCTGACACCCCGTGGCATTACAGCGAGGAAGGCGTCGATCTTGTGGTAAGCGACTACTTGAATCCGTTCGAGCCTATTTGTGTTCGGCAGTAGTCGGCAAATTATCTATGCATGTAAATGTTTGGTTGATGCATCCTTGTTTGCTAGTTGTTCTGCTATTCTGTCTGCTGCAGCATCTCTGAAGCTATAATATAGTTATTACAACTGTCATGAACTCATGATGACAAGATGCTTGTAGTGTGTCAAAATATATTGCATTGTCGTTCAGAACCGAGTTAGGTTAGCAGTTCAAATTATGTGTTACCCTACCCTTTAAGTTTTCGCTGTCTGTTGTTTTATTTCAGTATGTGTGTTGGCAATGTATGGTTTAAAGGATTTGTTGGAACTTGGAAGTTGCCATGCATGCTTGCAGTCACTTGTACAACAGAAACAACAAAACCTTCTAGTCTCAAGCAAGTTGCGGTAGGCTAGAGATGCAATCCAACATGAGCCTCCAACAAAAGGAAAAACAAAAGCATCAATATAAATTAAATAAAGTCATATAAAATACCACCAATAATAGTATTATTAGTTTATTACTGGGGAATCTAAAGCCTAATTCACCTTTCACCAGCACTAAACAACTACTAGGGTACAACGATGAAGTGATGAAGTAATAATTCAACAAAATTACATATGCACCTTTGCTACTATTTAAAGGGGTTGCATCATAGATTATGGATGTGAAAGAAATAAACGTTAGAATGCCCCATTGATCGGATGGGGATTATATCTCTACAGTCCGATTATCGGATGAAGCAATGTGGTGTGGGGCTTTAAGCATATGCCATGAACTGTGGAACTTAATAGCCTTAACTAAAGCTGTTTGTTGCATCTTTTTTTATTGACAGGTAGCAGAATCTGAAATTTAAGGGTTTGAATTATGTAGATGTAAGCTATTCAATTTGTACAATGTAAAAAAGAATTCCTCTAATTGTATTTGTTCCTTTTTACTGTTAATCTTTGATAACTAATGGGTCCTTAAGAAGATCATTGTGGACCTATCGTCAAGAAATTAGTTGGCTGGTGACAGTTTCAACTTTGAACTCCTGTTGCTCTGTTAATTGAACCGAATTTTCAACTCCTATCCTTACTTTCTTTTTCCACAACAAAGTTTGGATGGATCAGACACTTTGACTTAATAAGCTTGTTAACTAGTCTTGTTTGGTGCTTGTTTGGCTCATTAACACAAGAACTGTGGAATCTTTCCTGGATATAGAATTTTTTTTTTGTTTTACCTAACATTCCAACTGTGACACCATCTTGACTAATGACAGGTTAAGGATCCTAATGGCGCTCAAGTCCGTGATTCTCGAGATAAGACTAGTGATAAGTTTGAGTTCATAGTTCAGAAGAGAGGCGTCCATCGCTTCTGCTTCACGAATAAATCCCCGTACCACGAAACTATAGACTTTGATGTGCATGTTGGCCATTTTTCATATTTCGAGCAGCATGCCAAAGATGGTAAGAATAAGGATTTCTAAAGTTCTATTAACTTTGGTTAGCAAAAACGTAGCACTCAATTTCTGTTTTTTGGATGTGATGCAGAGCATTTTGCACCACTTTTCGAGCAAATAGCCAAGTTAGACGAGGCACTTTACAATATTCAGTTCGAACAGCACTGGCTAGAGGCCCAAACTGACCATCAAGCAATATGTAAGTATCCCCCTTTACCTTCTCCTTAAAAATACTATTTTCAGTGTTTTTCACCTTGCACCCCCTGTCTTGTTTAATTTTGTACTAACTTAATATCATGAGGAGTCATATGCACAATATTTCTTGGTGGTTTCTGGGCAGGTTTGATTAACAAATGACATTAATATCATGAAAGAATAGCTTAACAGGAGTAATAAGTTTGAAAATATCTAGATTGAATTTATATAGGAATTAAGGCAAAGCTGTACTGAATTTCTGTTGTGGTGAGCTAAACAAGTCTCATGCTTTGTGGGACCTGGTAAGACATTATAGTTTCTCCTGTGTTCTGTTTTGCTTGTAATTTTTCGATGCCCCTAGCTTCAGTATCTGTTCCCATGCTTCCTCCTAGGCAGTGAATTGCCTCATTACATTTTAACCTTGGCTTTATCTAAGCTGCTATTAAACTTTGCCAAGCTGGTATCATCCCACGATCTGTGAGCTAACCATCCCTCCTTGTGTGTCGCAGTGAACGAAAACATGAGCAGGAGGACAGTCCATAAGGCACTCTTCGAGTCAGCGGCACTGATCACCGCCAGCGTCATCCAAGTCTATCTCCTGCGCCGTCTCTTCGAGCGCAAGCTGGGAACGTCTAGGGTTTAAGACTCTACAAGTAGCCAACTCTCCCTTGTAGCCACCATGATCATACCGACATAACCGTTACACCTGTAATCGAATGGTTGCTAGATCAGCTAATACTGCTTGTTTGTGGACTTCAGTTACTTGTAATCTTTTGTGATTCCACAGATGAGAACTCTTCGAGTTTAAACCTTCAATTTAGCCTTCATTTTGCCTCACATTTTTTTTTCACCCAGTAACAAGGCTGTCTGTACAGGATAGAGATTTTCTGTGCCGGTGTACCACACAACTGAATGAGTTGCCGTAGATTGAACGGCCCCCGGGCCCCGGGTTTTGCCAAGGATAATAAATGGCTGGGCCTCCAGCCGAACAAGGCAGAATTGAAGACGGCGAGGAGAATCGCCAGCCTCAGCTACCGGCTCTCTAGATGGAAGTGTGTAGTGTGGGCACGACCACACCACATGTGTCATGTGTGTCGTGTTGAGGCGAGGGCTGGCCCTGCCCAACCAATCTCGCCAATCCATCAGCGCCCAACCACCGTGCCTGAACTCAGTTACTGATCGGGTTGCCCGCAGCGTTCGTCAGCTGCCTGTTCCGCGTGTGGAAGGCCGCATGCGCCTCCTGGGTCTCATGGTTTGGTTCGTTCTGGTAACATTCGTTGTCAGGTCAGAGCAGGTGTTCACAGAAGCATCACTTCGCTGTGCAAGTGTAAAGCAAAGATTGAGGAGCCACTGGCATGAACATGATGAAGCGATGGAGATGGAGCGCCTCCATCTGGGACGACAGCGACGGCGCCCTGTACCGTGGACCGGTTTAAGTGCCGTGCCGCTGTTTGGTGCAGGGCGTACGTGACCGTAGCTTGCATCTAGACTACCAGTAGAACAACATGGGTCGATGAGGGAGGGAATGAATTGGTGGACAGCAACGTGTGAACCAGTAGGACTTGCAGCGTGGAGCATGTACATGTACCGGCAGCGTGTGAACCAGTGTTCGCTTGAACTTATCAGTATTTTTCTCTCACAGCTTCAGCTGGCTGATAATTCTTTCACAACAAATCAGCTTCAGCCGACTTTAATCCCGGCCGAACAACCGCCGCTCGAGCACCGGTAGCAGGCGGCGTAAGCGTAATCAATGGCGCACAATTGGCAGCTGGGGAAGGGCAGGACTTGGCATGGCAGCTCAGTAGGACCGTCTGGCAGGCAGGCAGGATCAGGAAGACGAACGAACGTGGCTGAACAGTCTCCTTGGAGATTCGGCGGTGGCCTGGCCGTGCCCACCACGAGCCTGCCTGGCTGGCTCTCAACGGAACGAGCAGCTCGTCGGCAGGTCCCCCAGGACAGGAAAAACTTCCGGGCCGACGCAACGGCGCCGCGTGCCGTGCGGGCCGACGCCACCCGCGAGCACGCCGAAATGGCCGCCTGCCGAGTGCCGCCCCGTGCAACGAGGATGATGGATAGCCATGCACCGAGCACCGTCGCCGCCCGCCGCCCACATCTGCATCGCATTCAAGGCGCAGGCAGGCTTGAAGCTTCGCCCCCGCTTCATCAGCGGTCAGCGCCGCAGACGCGATGGGCCCGCCGCCGCCCAAGACATCCTTCCATCCTGAAGCAAGCAGGCTGCAGCGCGAGGCGAGCAACGGCTGGCGCTGGGAAGGAAGGACAGGAGCAACGCGATTCGCATGAGTAACGGCGCTGTCTGCAACGATCAGAGCAGCGGCAGATGAGGAGGGGGAGGGGAGGGACACGTCGTCGCTGGACGCTGGTAGCAGGCGTACGCTTGTACCGCGCGTCGCTGCGGCTGATACCTACGTGGTGTGCGCAACTGTACGTGACGGCGGCACGTACCGGGAAGGAATTACTGCTCTTCCCGCGCTTCAATTCAATGCGCGTCATCCAACGCTCACCGCCTCGGCTTCAATGCGCGCCCGCCTCCCGTCCTGCCGCCCCGGCCAGCCTATAAACGCCGCCGCACACGCCGCCCTCATTTCCATTTCCTCCTCTTCCTCATCCTCATCCTCATCTGGCACGAGCTAGCACCCAAGCAAAAGCCAGCGGTCACCGACGACCGGCCGGCCACCGTACCCTTCGCACTGCCCTCGGCGTAGGCGCCAGCAGGTCGGTCGTCAGAGGAGGAGCAGCAGCCAGCAGCATGGCCAGCAGGAGGCAGTGGCGGTGGTGCCTGCTGGCGGCGTGGTGCTGCGCGGCTGCCGCGCTGTCTGCGGCGCAGTCGTCGCCGCCGGCGGCGGACCCGCTGCAGAGCAAGTGCCAGGGGGACTTTGGGAAGCTGACGGACTGCATGGACTACGCGACGGGCCACGCGGCGTCGCCCTCATCCACCTGCTGCGGCGACGCCGGCGACACGGAGAAGGCGCGCCCGGAGTGCCTCTGCTACATCATCCAGCAGGTGCACACGGGGCGCAACCAAGTGCAGTCGCTCGGCCTGCGCTTCGACCGCCTCATCGCGCTCCCCGCCGCTTGCAACCTCCCCAACGCCAACGTCTCGCTCTGCATCAGTGAGTACTAGCGCCTCTCCTCCTTACTGAGAATAGGATTTGTCCTGAGTCCTGACCATGCAAGGTCCTCAGTTTCCACATTGTCTTCTTTCTTAATCATAATACGTATTTATTCTGCTGGTGCTCCCAATTGGTGATTTGCTAGCTCTGATTTCACCCCGGCTGATAGACTTGCACTCAGTAACATGATTATGCAAACAGGAAACGACTTTGGTGGTGAATTTTGGGGAAAACAGAATATCTCAGGGAATCAGGGTGTCCTTATGATTTGCTGCTAACTTATACTTAAAAATTATAGTTCTTCTTCTTCTACAGTACTAAGTTGTGTCAACACTACTATAGTACTTAAAAATCATCAAACCATGGTGGCAAAGTGGGCTGTGTTCTATAATTGGGCCGGCTTTGGGTGGATCTGATCTCCATGTCCATGTGCCAGCCCCCCATGCTCCAAACTTCCTACTGTTTAAGACCAGATCTTTGTTCAGTGTCATTTTTTTTGTTAAAAAAGAAAAAAAATGATATTTTTGTTAGCATAGTTAGGCATTAAAAATTTTCAGATGTTTTGTAATCTTACTGTGGTCCCAATATAAATTAATTTCTAGAATCACTTTAAGTTAAAACTATCTAAGTTTAGCTAATTTGATAGAAAAGGTAACAACATCTATGACACGGTGTATCTATCTAGTGATACTAAAAATATATAGGTGCTTTTTTATTTTCTATAAATTTATTTAAATTTAAATTACTCTTTAACTTAAGATAACTCTAGAAGTTGATTCGATCTGGGAGAGTATATGTTTTCGGTTAATATTTCCTGATGCCTGATGATGCTCTCCCCTGTGTACTATAGACCTGCTGAACCTGAAACCGGGCTCGCCGGACTACGCCCTCTTCGCCAACGCCTCCAAGAGTGAGTGCTCTCAACTCTGAGCCCTTCGTCTCACCCAATACCAATAACCCACTGGTACTCAGCTAACTAGCAACCGTCGTCACTCTTCTCCTGCAGTCACGCCATCAGCTAACCGGGCGAGCGACAGCACCGCCGGCAGCGGCTTCAAGCTTCAGGCTGGGATCCGCGGCAGCGTCGCGCTCACCGTGATCTCTGCGATCGTCTCGTCAGTCTTCTGATCGATCACCTCAAAGGAGAAGCGGCAGTTTTTACCCTGTGGATTCGTTCTCATGTTGCATTCCACTAGTCGATGTCTATTTTGTATTTGTACCCACATAAAAAAATAGATCCAGCTCAGTCATGTTTTCCCCCTCCCCGCACCGTGTTTCATGATGACTGATGAGAATGGATGGTTTGTGCTTGTGCATCGCAATTCACAGCTCTTTGTTCTGGAGAAACAGAGTGTCAGTGCAGCAAACAATTTCAAATAATTTAGTTGTTTTTCTGCTGTTTCCATCCATGATTTAAAAGGCGGCATTTGCTATCTGCAGCTTAATGAGTTGTTGACCGTTGGTCTCCTACCTTTTTTTTATGATTGATGAAACAGGAGGGGAAAAGCCCCTACTGCAATTATATTATTAATGAAAGGGAAATATTTGCTTCTCCCTCTATGGACAGCTGTTGCGAATTCAGACTTAAAACAGCTAAAACAGGATGGAACTGTAGGTTGCTGATCTTTGAAGTTGGTACTGTTTCTGGCTGACCATATGCTCACCAGCTCATCAGAATGGTCACTTCCATGAAAAATTGGAACTCGCTGGTTGGTCTACAATCTGAAGTCTGAACAGGAGGTGCGACGCATGCTGGATTCAGCTCGGCTGCTTGCAGTTGCAGACAAAACTGTCACTGCAACAAACAAATCAATGGTTTCCGGTACATGATGAAAGAACAATCAGTTTTTTTTTTAAAAACAATCAGATTCTTTTCTGTTGCACAGAAGCAGCAGCTCTGGCGGTCTGTCTTGGTACAAGGGCATCTTTGATTTGTCTCGTCCCCAGGAAAGGGAAAGGAAAGTGGATGGAAGGATTAAAGGCGAGTTCTGGAGAGGCGAGACGAGGTCACGAGGCACACTTTTTTTCCGACGCTCTTCTTTTGTGGTGCCAGGTGTGGGGTGCGCCTGGTGGGGGCTCCCTCGGCGGTTCGCTGTCTGTTCTTCCTCACTGCTCACCCCTCAGATTCCATCTGAATGCTTGCTTTGCATCGGCTTGCTCAGGGCTCAGGCTATGCCCTTGCATGCTGCTATGCGTCTCCCAGTGGTTGTCCCTGTCCTTGTCAGCGTCTGTACCCAGCTACGGCTGATTGGCTGGTCATCAGTTAGCTCTAGTAGCTGCGCCGCCCATGATTGGTGAGTGCACTGAAAGTTGCAACTAACTACTCATCAGAGCTTATCAGTAATCAGACCAAGATTCCGAACAAATCCGAGAGAGTCCCACAGCGGCAGAATTGTTCGTACAGGCTCCGAATTGCAGTCCAGGAGTATATTATGTAATCGTTCATGAACGCGAGAATTGTTGCCCCCCGCATTTTTTTCGGTTCCGAATTGGCTGTTGCGACTGCGATGCACCCTGCCTGAACGACGACGTGGCCGCCACAATTTGGAGCGAGGCACACGGCAGGCACGGCTCCTAGAGACTGCTGGAGTCCTGGTGACCGACGGTCGGCTCGACGCGGGTTGGGCTGGGGACACGCTGGCACGACGGGCGGGTCGCCGACGCGGCCGGCACACGCCACGAGCCCACGAGACGGGATGACGCCGGCGACGACAGAGGAGGAGGTCGTGCGCGCGACGCGGGCGTCCGTTTTACCCATGTCGTGTCGTGCGCTGCATTAATTCGTTTCTTTTCTCCACGGCTGGCCTGGACTGGCAGCTGATGCGCGCACGTCTCGGCCTGCCTGCCTGGATCAGGATCAGCGAGTCACGACGACCGGCGAGGTATTTTTTTTTTCGTAGCGTAATCCCGGATCATCGTGGCCTTGATTAACTCCGTGGATCGCTAGTAGTATAGATTACAGAGCTTCAGGGCCAGTGGTCATTACCTTTGACCCTAGCTATTCCAGGAGATGATGCCCCTAGTTCTGGTCCGGTGTGGTCGCCCGCGCTGAGACGATAATAATGAAATGAATCGGCAGCTGGCTCTGTGTGTGTGTGTGTGTGTGTGTGTGGGGGGGGTTTGGGCGGGGGTGGGGGGGGAACGGTTGTGAACTAGGCCCATGTGCTGGCCCCATAATTCGCGTACAGTCCCTGACAATCTGCTAAGGTACGAGTGTTTAAATCCCAACGGCAAAAGTTCAGGATGTCACACATCGATTATTTGAATAATAACAATAATAAAATAAATTACACAGGTTCTCAGTAATTCACGATACGAATTTATTAAGCCTAATTAATTTATCATTAGCATATGTTTACGGTAGCACCATATTATCAAATCATAGACTAATTAGGCTTAAAAATTCCTTCTCGCAAATTAGTCTTAATTTGTGCATTTAGTTTCGTAATTAGTCTATATTTAATACTCTATATATGTGTCCAAACATCCGATGTGACAGAGGCTAAAGTTACTGCCTCAGTCCAGAAAAGAATGCAACTATGTGTTATGTGCCACGAAAAATGGTCCACGTTTGAAGTTTCTAGTAAATAATATTCACAGTTATGTCTTTAAATTAATTTATTATGAAAATACATTTCATAATTAATGTGATAATATTTGTTTGGCATCATAAATATGGATACTTTTTTTTCTATAATTGGTCAAAACTAAGGTACTCAAACATGAGAATTACATTCTTTTGAAGACAGCCCGTACTTGTCAGTACAATTCTTCTTTGTTTTTCTTTCTCTCACTCTTGGAGAAACAAAAGATCAGTACTAGCTGCCTAGAATCATGACGACTAGTAGTTCATTGTCACTTGCGCTAAGATCATGGGATGGATTGACCTTTCGGGTATCACCACATGGCACCCACAATGATGAGCATAACTGCTATGTATGCTCATCACAGCAGACCGAACCACCGATAAACACAAGAGCATAACATAACGGCTCCTGATCTCGTCGCGTGCGTGCGTGGATGACGCGTTGCGACTCTGAGATGATGCTCTGTGCCGACACCCCATGCTCCACATTTCGTAGTCGATCACTGGTCAGACAACGGCGTAGGCCGTTACGTACTTCAGACACCTCAAAAGTGGATCCCTGTCAAACAGCTCCGCGAGAACGGCCTCAGGATCCAAATTCCAATCCAACAACTAGAGGGCTTTACTGACAGAAGAGGTGAAGTCAGTCCGACGCCAAATCTCTTTTTTGTCTTCTTTTTTTCCCTCTTATTACAGACAGAGGTGAAGTCAGCGCAGCGTGTCTTTCTCGAGTCCTGTTGGCCTTTACGTAGGGGTCTTCTGGGCCTCTGGGGTTTCGACTTTTTCTGCTAATAATGAGGGCCCTACTGGGAAACAATAACACTGAGGTAATCCTGAGCTCGTACCAAATATATACTCTGAAAGGTTAAAACTATATAGAGGAGCATGTATCTATCGATAATGAATAAGAGATACGAGTTCCACGATATTTACTCTCCTGTGTGTTCATCTGGTGTGCTGTTGAAAAGAGATATGGGAGATCATGTACGACTTCCTCACGTCTCTTCTACAGCCTCCAGTCCCGTCCGCGATAGACGGCCGGCAATGTCCCGCTCCTGAGTCGCGGTGGTCCACCACGGCGTATCAATGTCACGGTGGCAGGCATGATATGATCCGTGGCATTGCATTAGCAATCGACGACGCCCATCGAATGATCCGCATGACCGCATCTTCCTTTCCTTGTTTATCCCTGGGGACGATACGGTGTACCGGCCGCGAGCATTGGATTTGGGGTTGCGCGGCAACGAGCAATCTCATCTCCAAGACCAACGCAAAATCCGAGCAACACACGTGATCCAGCTGATTTGTGCGAGGATTCGTAGCAGAGAAGAGCGACGACGAGGGCAGCCGAGCAGTAGCGGCAGCGTGAGGCAGGATGATGGACGCAGGTGAAGACGACGAGACGAGGAGAGGTGGACAACAGGACAGCCCCGTCCGTCGGGTGATACCGGGATCCGAGGCTGAAACCGGGGTCGACTCATGGGCCCCCAGCGCAGATGCGACAGCAGCAGTGCAATACAAGTTGCTGAATTTTACTAGACTGCTGCTTCCCCTGAATGCGCCTCACGTCACGAAGCACTTGCGTGCTTCCACACGCCACACCCCACGGTTTCCTATTTCTCTCCGTGAGTTTGACAATCACAGTTGTCGCCATCCTTCTCTCCAAGTTTTTTTTTCTTTTAAATAAACAACATTACAGACAGGCCACAACGAAAACAAAAGGAATAGTAATAATTAACCCATGTACAGTACTTCCTCCGTCAATAGAAGATCTTGTAGGTCTGATCACAGGAATTAAGAAGAAGAGAAAATAAATATGATGCACAAGAAATGAGAAGGTGAGACAGGGATAGAGATGTATTGGGAAAAAAGAGAGAGATGTATTGAGAAAAGGCGGTGTGGATACTCTCATGGATTTATTATACTAGAAGTATACCCCGCTCGCTATTGCAGAAATTGTGAATGAATTAAAATAAAATTAAACTAAATTACTTATAGGAAGGAATAAACTATTACATTATAAATTAATTGCAGTGGATGGCATGGCATACTAATAACGATAGTTAAATGCATGTGATAGTGGACTAATGAGGTGGACTGTTTGCATGTCGAGATAGAACGACTAGTTTTTTTTTTTTTGCGACTAATGCCTAGTGGGGTTTAGGATTATAAGATATATAGATATAGATATAGATTTATACGTCGGAGAAAGTAGTAGCTCAAAAGAAATTCCATTGATTTTTTTTCTTTAAAGAACACCGTGCTCCTGGAGGAATTTATACAAAACCACAAAGCCTTAACCAAAATGCTAATGTAGCTTTTAACTATCCTAAGTCAAGCTTTTTATGATACAAAATATTTTATGTTTTGTTTAAGAACATATACCTTCTTAGATATTGCTATTAAAAGTGATAATGTGTCCAAATGGAATATATTTACGTTAGGAGGAAGGGAAATAGTAGTAGCCTCAAAGGAAGTTTCTAAGAGAAATGTACAAAACCATGGGATCTCAAACAAAATTGTTATTTATACTTGTAAGGGTAGAACCCCTTTCCTACTTAATGTGTTTAAAATGACTAATTGGAATTATATTTTTAAAACTAAAAAATCGACAAAAAAGATCAACCTTAAAGGATGATCTAATCGTAGTTTCGAGAGGCCTTACTTTGGGCCTCCACAAACCGTTAAAGCAAACACCTTTCCCGACATCACAAAATGAGATGCCCCCCTTCATCTTTTGCTACATAGCTAGCCTTTTTTATAAACGGAAAAAAAAGAAATGTAGATAAGGATGACTGTATGAGAGCTCAATCAAGAGATTATATATGCAACATATAACTCGTTTGGAGCTCCTGGCACAACCAATTTCATTTTTTTTAAATAGAACCATTCTAACTTAGTTTGAGGAGTTTTATTATTCACTTTATTATATTATACTCTACTATATCCGTTACAAAATAAGTGTCGTTATGGTATTCGTGCCGGTCAACTTTGTATCTCTAAATAAATTTATTATAAAAACATATTCAACGATCTATTTAATGATATTAATTATGCACTATAAATATTAATATTATATATATTTGGTTAAAGTTAAAAACATTTGATTTTTCGAAATCCAGAAGACATATTTTGGAACAGAGAAATTATATATTTATAAAAAGGCCTAACGGCAACGGCCAATCATTTCTCTCATCGAGAGATAGGCTCATTGCTATAAAACCTTTGCTTTCCATTCCATTCACCACCGTCCCCCGGCATCCCCGCTGCCCGCGACCATAGCCGTTCGCCCGTTCGGCTCCACCACTTCGTCCCAGGTCCTCACCTCCGCCGCCGCCGCTGCCTCCTCCTCCCCTACCCCGCCGCTGAGCTAGCAGGCCCCACTACCCCAAGCCACCGCGCCCAGCCAGGCCCCGACAGCCAAGCCGCGGGGCCGGCCGGCCATGGAGAAGCGACGAAGAGGCGGCGTGTCGTCCCTGATGGTGCTGGCGGCGTTGTTGACGGTGGCCGCAATGCCGTCGCCGCCCCGCGTGGCGGCCGCGCTGTCGCCGGACTACTACAAGGACAGCTGCCCGGACCTGGAGTCGATCGTGCGGTACGAGGTGACGAGGAAGAAGAACGAGACGGTGGTCACCATCCCGGCGACGCTCCGCCTCGTCTTCCACGACTGCATGGTCGGGGTGAGTAATAGCACACGACGCACGCCTTGCCCCAAATCCTCGCCTCCTCTCCTCTTGCTTTTTGCTTTCACCGCACTCATCCATGATTCCATGGTTCATTCATTCACGCGTGCTCCCCATCCTTGCTTGCTCGGAGATGCACAATTTAACGCGTCTACTAGGCGACTGGGTGCTGGAATTACTGATCTACTGCATTTTGATTTTTAATCTGTTCTTTTTTTGGGGGTGGTCTGGTTCTCAGTTGAGCTGTGATTCGTGCGTGCTAACAGCAGAGTTTAGTTCCCACTCACTCTCACCCTCCTCTCTCAACTTGCTCTGTTGTGGAGGAATCGGAATCATTCTTTGTTGTCATCTCCCTCCTTTCCTCTGTTCAGTCCAAGAAGGCAGAAGCCGTCTTTGGAACCACAAAAGTTGCAAGTTGCGCACTGCTTTTCCAGTCAGATAACATGGGCTGTCTGCCGCTTGCCTCTGCTTCCCAGTTCGTCCTTCATTGGCTCATCGCAAGCCCTGCCTGCCCTGTGCTGCTCTTCTGAATCGTGCTGAAAAGAAAGAAAGAAAAAGAAATCGGTGCCGTGAGATGTTGCCAATAGAAAACCGGATTCGTTTTGGCCAAAAGCTACTGTACGGGCCACTAGCAGTAGCAGGCTAGCAGCAGCTGGATGGATTGTGGGCGTGGCCGGGGAAGGAAGGGAACGACTCGAGAGCCCCGCGTGGTCGTCGGTTGCGGCAGGACGCGCATGTGACGACGCGGCTTTTCATCAGCACCTCCGGATTATCAAAATGCCAGCCGTGTCGGAGGCAGCGGGCAGCGGCGTGGCGTCTCGTCAGAAATCACACCCCGAGGCCTTATTTAGATTGTTAATACGAATCAGTATTTGAGACGGTAACATTTTCGTTTAAATTTGACAATTATTGTTCAATCATGGCCTAACTAAGCTTAAAAGATTCGTCTCGTAATTTATAATCAAACTGTGTAATTAGTTATTTTTTTTATCTACATTTAATACTCTATATATATGTCAAAAATTTAATGTAAAGAGAGAGAGTGAAAAAACCTACGATCTAAACAAGGCCCGAGCGGCGAGTGCGTCGACCTGCCGATAATGAGGACGGCCAACTTATCGGTTTCTGGGTTCAGACGTACAGTAGCTGGCTGGCTGCTTGGGATACCTGCTGCAGCTCAACAGCTGGTTCCATGCATGTTGCCAAGAATATGACGAAGATGCTGCCTTTGGCTGGCTCTGCCAGTGTTGTTTAGCCCGTGTTTAGTTGCAAAAAAAAGTTTAAAAAAAGTGCTACAGTATCTATCATATCGAATCTTACGATACATGTATAGAACATTAAATGTAGACGAAAAAAAACTAATTACACAGTTTGATTGGAAATTGCGAGACGAACGTTTTGAGCCTAATTAGTCCACGATTAAACACTAATTATCAAATAAAAGCGAAAATGCTACATTAATCAAATTTTAACTTTTCAACCAACTAAACACGGGCTTAGTGGCATCCTGGCAAGCAAGCAGCTGGCATCTCATTCAGTCATTCCAGTCTTTTTTCCTCTACCTTTTCTTTTCTTTGCTTTTCTGGGTTGACCTAATACATCGGGTGCCGCGTGAGCTCACGTCGAGCACCAGTTGTATAGGACCCCCACGCTTACCGATGACAAGACGTACTTGATATTCAGGTTTTTAAACCTTTCTTTATGGGAGCAAAAATACATTTTCAGGTCACCAATGTCCATGAACGTTGCCAAGTTTTCAGAACACAATTTCAACTGCCAAATATGCTCTATGCTTTCGTTTACTCGCAGTAATTGAAAAGTAAAAAAGAAAAAAAAGAAAAAGAAAAGAAAAGAAAACAAGTAATGTGATGAGTAACCCTGCCGTTCACCTCAACAATCGCAGGGTTGCGACGCCGCCGTCCTGATCGCGTCAAAGAACAACGACGCCGAGAAGGACGCGGAAGACAACGAGTCGCTCGCCGGCGACGGCTTCGACACCATCAACCGGGTCAAGGCCGCCGTCGAGAAGAAGTGCCCCGGCGTCGTGTCCTGCGCCGACATCATCGCGCTCGCCGCCAGAGACGTCGTCTACCTGGTAACAAACCACACCCACCGCCTTCATCTCTCCAGCCTCCGATCGAGCCAGTCCGGGCCCTGGATCAACCTGATGATATATTGGTGGTGACAATGGCATGCAGGCGGATGGCCCCTACTGGAGCGTCGAGCTCGGCCGGCTCGACGCCCTCGCCTCCAGGGCCAGCGACGTCAAGGGGAAGCTGCCGGCCCCAGAAATGCGCGTCAAGGAGCTCACCCCGCTGTTCCAGAGCAATGGCTTCACCACGAAGGAGATGGTCGCCCTCTCCGGCGCGCACACCGTCGGCTTCGCGCACTGCACCCGCTTCACCGACAGGCTCTACAGCTACGGCAGCAGCACGCCGACGGACCCGTCCTTCAACTCCGACTACGCGGATCAGCTCAAGCAGGCGTGCCCTCGCAACGTCGGCCCCACCATCGCCGTCAACATGGACCCCGTCAGCCCCATCAAATTCGACAACGCCTACTACACCAACCTGCTGGACGGGCTGGGGCTCTTCACCTCCGACCAGGTGCTCTACACCGACCAGACGACGAAGCCCATCGTCGACAAGTTCGCCGCCAGCCAGAAGGAATTCTTCGATGCCTTCGTCGCCGCCATGCTCAAGCTGGGGAGGTTAGGGGTGAAGACAGGGAAGGATGGAGAGATCAGAAGAGTCTGCACTGCCTTCAACCATTAGAGGAGGGGAGGGGGGGAGCTGCATATGCAGCAGCGTTTGTAATTCAGATTATCTCAATGCTGTTTGGAGTTGATCGAGATGCGTATACTGAGATTGATTCTTTTTCATACAGTTGCCAATGTTTGAAGGTGTTCTTTCTCTCTGTTTGTTTATTCCTTTTTCTTTTCTTTTTTAAATATTTTTTTGTGCTTATTGATTTTTTGGTGCATTTTTGTACAGACTGAAGAGTGTAATACGATGAACAACTTGAGAATTTTTAATTGAAAAGGTTAATCTGACGATATATAGAGCTAATAAAGAAAAGGATATTTTTTTGGCTCGGATTCAGTTTTGCATAAGTGCAGTGCTGTTACATGATTTATTTTTACTTTTATTTTCTTCTGAAATAATGATAATTAGCAGAATAAGGAGGTCAATAAAAAGTGCGATTCAAACAGGAAAGTTGTTGATTAATTGATCGCCCAATTTGAAGAACTCTGGCTGTTTGGCATATGAAAGAGGAGAACAAAAGAAGATATCAGAGCATGTTTATCAAGTAAACCATATGATGAAGGCTGAGGCACAAAGTCCAGCATTAAAAATGAACAGCAAGCCTTTGAAAAAGTTAACTACAACCACTAACCTGATAGAAGCTCATGAGTATAGACTATAGAGTACTATTTATTCATCCAGCTGACTTCTAGAAGTTATTACACTACACATAGTTCAAGGAGCAGAAGCCTGAGATTGCTGTCACCGACCTAATCCTCAACTCAACAATTGGGCACACATAAACAGCGTACGAACTAGCATACAAGTTTCTGGAAGGTTCTAGAAGGATCTAGACCTGTACGTAACAGTAGAAGAAGGGGAATAGGAAGGGTAACTCGAGCCCGCTGACTCGCCTCGAGCAGAGCTCGCCGCGGGGTTCGTGTTCTGGTCCTTCGACACCCCCTCCGTTTCCCTTGCCTGTGTTTATGTAATTGCGCTGCATCTGCCCTGGTTCGTTGATGGGCCAAGACAAGTCCAGCGCTGCAGCCCACTTGCTTCTCCAACCTGTGAGCCGGCCCAGCCTATATCCCAGGAGGTCCCTGACATACTTCCCTCCTTGAAACACGGCTTGTCCCCAAGCCGTGCTTGCACATGTATTACCGAGGGTAGGTCCATGGCTTGGCAGTTGTGAAGTAATCCACCAGGATCCCATAGCACTTGGATGTACTTGATGCTGAGTGTAATCTGCACAAAAGCACTCCAAAGCACTTGCAACACTTTCACTCTTTTTCTGAATTATTAGTATTCCCCAGATCAATAGACGAAGGGCGGGCCTGGTGCAAGCGGTAGAGTCTTACCGCCTATGACCGGAAGGTCCCGGGTTCGAGTCGCGGTCTCCTCGCATTGCACAGGCGAGGGTAAGGCTTGCCACTAACACCCTTCCTCAGACCCTGCACAGAGCGGGAGCTCGCTGCACTGGGTACGCCCCCTGGTCAATAGACAACCTGACTTCAACAGAACATAATAGCGACCACCTTGCAGGTCCTGTAGAACTGACTGGGTGAGTGAATTATATCTCCCCATCATGTCAAAGGCGATCTGATGCTCAGGTTTGAAATCTCCTTCCCTCTGTTCACTGCATGAAAATACAGTTCCATATAATTGCAATGTTCTCTGAATGTTCCAGCCACTTGACAGCAAACTTTTCATGCTAATTAAGTCAGCAAATAGCTCCACTCTAGCCTTCATTGACATCTCCTTCAAGAGTTCCAGTAATTTTTCTAGTTCCACAAGCATAGATCTGAACTTGTTCTGATTTGGAGGTGACCACTGAAGTATATACTCAACTGAAACTTGACAGGAAGAGGTTTCAGAGTGCTTACCAAACAACAACAGCAAAACTTCATGTGGATTCAACCCAGTGATCTCGGATGCTGAATATGACATGTCACCCATTGGAATTGGTAGCTCTCCTGAACACCAAAACTTCTCGCACTTCGAGAATCTCCAATGAAAACACCTCTCCATAAGCTTACTTACTAGCTGAGAGAGGAGGCAATTGACACCTAAAAGTAGCAGCACCATTCCTTCCAATGAATGGATCTCCAAAATCCACGACTCAAATGTCAATGGAGAGATATATTGTTTTGTCTCACTGAAATGCCAAACCAGATGCAGGTTCATGTTCATTGCAATCATCTCATGAACTGAACTGTGCATCTTGACTTGAATACTGGACAATAAGAGCGTCTGAATTTTCCCACTATCCAGTAGCAGTAACCACACGTGCTTGGATGGATCATAATTGGTACTGTCGTCTTCTGGAAAAACTAATGACCATGGAGGCTTTGGTTGTAGGCCACCACACTCAACAACCAACTGATTTCCACACAGATTGAACTGATCACCCAATGTTAGAAATGGATCAGGTGGTGGCCATGGTTGTAACAGAAACGTGCCACCATTTCTACAGATAAAATGCAGTGCTACTGCCTTTCCTGATAGTACCTCAGACACCAATATATATGACTGAAAATTTGAGTGCACAATAGGCAATTCAACATAGCAAATGCCAAACATGAGCACCAGCAAAAATTTGAATTGCTTTGCTTCAGCTCCAGTGCAGACGATGAATAGATATGATAACAGCTGCAGATTAGTACCACTGGATGCCTTCTGTAGTTGCACCGGCGACGTCATAGATGGTTGCCACTACACCCACTTCATGTAATCTCTGCACCAAGGCGATACCACAAGCAAGAACCCACTGATCAAATGCATTTTCC